GGATAGAACAAATGCCTGCTAGGTGGAGAAGATAGTTAAATCTACAGAGGCTCCTGCATGTGCCAGGCTTCCTGCTAGGGGAGGATAGATTGTTCAACTGGTACCAGCACCAGCTTCTAGTATTGAGGACGCAAGTAGGAGTAGAAGAGATGTGGGGAGAAGTCAGAAACTTATGTTATTTATTTGAGGGAATGCTGTATCAGGGGCACCAATTATTAGGGGGACAAGTCAGTTGCCGAAGCCTCCGATCATGATTGGTATTACTATGAAGAGAATTATAATACATGTGTGAGTGGTGACAATAACATTATATGGTCGTCTCCTAGTTGGGTTGCTGGCTGGCCTAATTCTGCTAGAATTAGGAGGCTTAGGGCTGTGCCTGCTATTCCTGCTCATGCACTGAATAGTAGATGTAATGTTCTGGTATCTTTATGATTAGTTGAAAATAATCGGCAGTTGATGAACATAGGTAGAAAAAGGTAAAATGGCTGAGGAAGTGTTAGACTGTAAATCTAAAGACAGGGGAATAGGCCTCTTTTTACCAGTCCTGAGCAGATACTATCATATTGAATTGCAAATTCAAAGGAGCAGCTTCAATCCTGCTGGGGCTTCTCCTGCCTTTTTTTTCTTATGTCTGGAGAAGTAGATTGAAGCCAGTTGATAAGTTATTTAGTTGCTAACTAAATTTTTGTGGGTTAAAGTCCCATCAATCTAGGAAGGGCTTGGTTTAATGGATGTAGTTGATTTGTGTTCAACTGATGCAGAGTAAAGTTTTGCAGTCCATAGAATTGATACAGAAATTAAGTATAATTTACTTCCTGAGGGCTTTGAAGGCTCTTGGTTGTGATTAATATTGACAGGGTTATATGTAGAAGGAGAGTGGCAAAAAATAATAAATGGAGGAAGGAACAGTATGGGTTTTATGTTTTCAAATTGTCATTCTATTTTTATGTTGTTAGATGTAGGAAATATTGTTCCTGAAACAGAGTAAATTAGGTGTATGTAAAAGCATAGGTTTAATAGAGTTATTCTCACTATAGGAATTGGAATAATTGGGCTATCGTTTTTGTAAACTCTTGTTAGATTGCTCATTTAGAAGAGAATACTATTAATGGTGGTAGGCCTCCTAGGGATAATAGAATTAGTGGAATAATAGGTATTAATCATGTTAGTTTATGTCAGGTGTGGGATAGTGACGGGTTTTAGTATTCAAGTTTAAGTTAAGTATTATGGATATAGAAGTTAGAATATAGTAGATAAGTAAATTTAGGATGGTGATGTTTGGGTCATAGGTTAATACTGCTATTATTCATCCTATATGGGTAATTGAAGCATAAATTAGGATTTTACATAGTTGTGTTTGATTAAGTCCTCCTCAGCTGCCTATTGTAATGGTTAAAATTGAAATTAATAGGAGGTTATTTGTGTTGAATAATGGAAAGGTTTGAAGTTATATGAGATGGGAGGTAGTTTTTGTCATGTGAGAAGTATGGCGGGTATTAGGGGGGTTTCTTGGCTTACCTCTGGGAGTCAAAAGTGAAAGGGGGCTATTCCTTGTTTTATTGCTAGAGCTATTATTATTATTATGGATGAAAGGTGGTTAATGTGGGGTGTAACTGTTAATTGTCCAGAGAGCAGTTTGTTAGAAAGAATAGCTATTATAAAAATTACGGATGTGTTTGCTTGTGTTAGGAAGTATTTGGTGCTGCTTCTGTGGAGCAGTGGCTTATGTTTTTTATTAGGATTTGCAGGATGGCTAATACATTTATTTCTGAACCTGCTCAGATGAGGAATCAGTGTGAGCATAATATTATAATGAAAGTTCCTGTAAAGATAGTAAGGGAGATGGTGAGTTGGGCTAGTGGGTTAATTAGTACAGGAAGGATTAAACCAACATTTTGGGGGTATGGGCCCAATAGCTTGTTTAGCTGACCTTACTTTAGTGCGAGGTGTAATACGTAGCATGGAAAGTTTTGAATTCTCAGGTGTGGGTTCAATTTCTATAGCCTTAAAAATAAGAGGATTTAAAACTCTACAATTTACTCTATCAAAGTAACTCTTTTTTTTCGGACGTATTTCTTGTGTTTGGGGTGGGATACTGGATGTTAGAATAGGTATTGAGATATATAATATGCATAGTGCTAGTGTAAGTGATAAAAAAATTTTCATAATAAATATATTAGTTGGTCATAGGACAATTGAGGATTCATTCAAATTCATAAAAATAGGGTGGTTAAGAGAAGGGTTTTCGTGATTAAATTTATTGTGTAAAGTTCTGGTAAAATTATGGTGTGGGGTGTTCCTAGAAAAATAGTGGCAGTTAAGGCATTTGTTATAATAATATTTATGTATTCTGCTATAAAGAAGAGTGAACGAACCTGCCACATATGTTCTGATTCTCCTTCTGTTAGGTTGAAAGGAGCTCAGTTGGTTTCTGCTAATGTGGAGATAAATCATATTATGTCTAGGAGTCGTGGTGGTAGAAGTCAGAAATGTTCTTGTGTTGTAATGAGTGTATATAAATTAAATGAGCTGCTGATTAGTAGGGCTGATAATGGAATGATGGCTAGGGTGACTTCATGTGAAATTGTCTGGGCTACAGTTTGTAATGCACCCGTTGGTGCATAGTTTGAATTGGGTGCTCATCCTGATCATAGAATGGAATAAATGGCCCGGCTTGATGTGGCTAATATAAATAGAAGACCTAAGTTGAAATTGATTGGGGGATCTGGTATGGGGAGAGGAGCTCATAGGAGGAAGGCAATGGAAAGGGCTAAGCTTGGAGTGGTTATGGAAAGGGTTATAACCACTCCAAGTGGATGTGGAGGGTTGTAAGGATTCTTTTATGAAAAGTTTTATTGTGTTGGCAAATGGTTGAAGTATTGCATAGGGCCTATGATGCTGGGCCCTGTAAGTAGTTGTATAGAGCCTAGAAATTTTTGTTCGATGAGTGTTAGAAATGCCGATTAGGGCAGGAATAATTAGTAGGAGGAAGTTAATCATGAACATGCTATTAAGAAGAAGAATTGAACCTGTGATTATAAAGCTTTGAGTCTTATTTGGGTACCAGGCTCTGCCATCTTAATGAGCCCTGTTCTCAGGCAGGGAAAATTGTTTGTTAGATTGAGATGATATGATCTGCTGCATTAGGGCGCTTTGTGAAATAGGCTCTATTTCTCTTGTTCATTCGTAGTGGGAGAAATATTGAATAGATAAAAACCGACCTGGATGTCTCCGGTCTGAACTCAGATCATGTAGTACTTAAATCGTTGAAGAAACGAACCTTTAATAGTGGCTACACCATTGAGATATCCTGATCCAACATTGAGGTGGTAAACCCCATTGTCAATAGGAACTCTAGAATAGGATTTTGCTGTTATCCATAGGTTAACTTGGTCTGTTGATCAAGTTATTGGGCCAATGTGTGTTAATTTAGTTAGACTAGTATGGTCTTAGTTTATATTGTTTGGAGGTTATATTATACACCTAGGTCACCCCAACCAAAATTTTTAATGCATGGATGATGAATTAATGCCTGTAAGTTTTTGAGTGTTGTTTGTATTAGGAAGTTGAAGCTCGATAGGATCTTCTCATCTTATTTGGTCATATCCGCCTCTTCAGGGATAGATCAGTTTCACTGATGAAAAATAATAGACAGTTAGATCCTCATGTGGCCATTCATACAAGTCCCTATTTGGGGAACAAGTGATTATGCCACCTTTACATAGTCGGGGTACTACAGCCATTGAACATGTGTCACTGGGCAGGCAGTGACTCTAATACTGGTAATGCTTGAGGTGATGTATTTGGTAAACAGGTGGGGGTAAGGTTTGCCGAGTTCCTTTTACTTTTTTAAATCTTGCCTTAAGGGCATGCCTGAGTTGGGTTAACAGTTTAATAAGGTGTTTAGAATATAAGTTATTGTAATTGGGCTGTTAACTGGCAATAGTTATTCCAGTCTGATATAAGCTTATGCAGGAGAGAATGCTTTTGTTACTTATACTAACATTGTTGCTTCTATTAATAGATTAGTCCAATGTGATGTTAGGGTTCCAGTAAAGTGAGTAGAATTGAAATACTTAAATATTGAGCTTGAATACTTTCTTAATTGGTGGGAGCTGTTACGTCAACTATGGTAATGAAGTTTCTTACTCGCTTTGAAAGGTTATTTCCTAAGGAGAGAAGAGCTGTCCCTCTTTAACAATTAAACTTAACCATTGGTCAGACCTCCTATAATTGGTCCAGATATACCAAGAGGCAATATTCCTGTGCTTGAATCATCCCAGAGCCATGAACCAGGTAACTAGGGATGATCCCTGTAGCCCAACGCCTACTAAAATTGTTCAAGCTAGCCAATCCCAATCTTGCCCTGCTTGTCCTTTCCTATAGAACCCCCAATAAAGGCAGTGGCCTAAACGTTCTTGCTCTTGTCTTCTGCCTCCTGACCACCTTAGTGTCTTTCCCGTGAGGTCCTGTGTGGCATGCTGTGCATCTTGTTTCTTCAGCAACTCTGAATATTAAAAATCTCTTAATGGCATCAGACTCTCCATGTTATCCCTCAGTCACTCACCTTTGTAAATTAAGACATGGGCACAATAAAATTTGAGATTTAACCACTATTTGATTAATTAGAAAAGGACTACCCAAAACATGAATATTCCTATGTTTCCCTTTAAAAATTGCATTTAATATAGTTGTTGCTTTAGAAATAACTATATGTTTAGTCAAAAATGAAACAATCTACGTGTACTAATGGAAAAGCTTAATGGAACTTAATCTGTTTGTTCCAGTTGTAAAGTTTGTGACTCTTACTCAGAAGTAGACACAGAGATAATTTGGAGGATTTTTCCTCTCCTATGTGTGTCTGAAATTTAATTTTTTTAAGGAAAATCTAGACGTATAATCAGCCAGCTGATTATAAGAGCTGGTCAGCATTGCTTCACACAGAATATTTTTTTTTTATTGTAACTTTAGTTTTTTTTTCCATTAATGTTTTATAGATTTTAATGTGTAGAAGTGTTACCTCGAAGAACCCTATAATGGGAGAACTCAAGATGGCGCTGTGAGAACAACCCAGGATTGAAGCTCTCACTGGACGCACGGAGAGGGTGAGTCAGGGAAGCATTTCCAGACGGATCTTAGTTACCCACAGAACGGGAAAATTCCCAGGTATAAAAGACACGTGGGATGCCAGGCAGAGGTCTCCGCTGGCGGAGCCAGCAGCCGGTGCAGCTCCGGCCCACGCCGGAGTGCAGAGGCGCTCCACAGCGCTCCATACAAAAGCGCACTGTTAAGGGTGCCCTGTTGAACCGGCAAACTAAAACCCGAGAGGGCTGAACTTGAGACTGAACGGGTCTTGAAATGTGACCCAGCCCAGGAAATCCCAGGGAATCAGCGTTTGGGGGAGCGCAGTGCAACAAACAAAACGGCGATTCCAAACGCTCCCAGTGAATAGGTTTTTTTTTTAAGTGCAACTCCGTGGGGGAGGGGCGTCAGCCATTACCGAGGCAATCAGCCCCTACTGAGGTACACACCGATTGCTGACGCAGCCTGCCGCTGCCCAGGCAACCCGGTACAACAGAGAGACTCCACCGCAGGGTGTAGCCCGAGGCAACAGGGCGGAGACCACAGCAGAAGGGCGGAGCCTTCAGGAAAAGGGCGAACCTCACACCAGCAGAGCAGACCCTCGGCAGGCAAAAAGTGACTAGACTGCCTCCTAGCTGGCCAGGACAGTGAGGCGGACACTCACAAGGAAAGCCCCAACCCCCACCCCAGACAGAGCATCTGAGGAAAAAAAAAGGGGTTTTCTTACGAGTTAGGTTGCAGCAGAACTAAACATAGCAGCCTAGCAGCCCTGAATGAACAACAGAGCTCACAGCTCAGCACTTGAGCTCCTACAGACTGTCTCCTCAAGCAACTCCCTGACCCCTCTATATCCATAAGACTGACATTCGGCAGACATCATCCTGGGACAAACATAGCAGAAAAAGAAACTGGTAGCATCCCTCGCTGTTCCGCAGCCGCTACAGGTGCACCCCAGACAAGCAGGGCCTGGAGTGGACCTCAGCGGTCATACAGCGAAGGGGCTAGACTGATAGAAGGAAAACCAAGTAACAGAAATACTCCATCATCAACAATCTGGATGTCCACTCAGAGATCTAATCAAAAAGTCAGTAACTACACAGACGACAGGTGGATAAATCCACAAAGATGGGAAGAAACCAGCGCAAAAAGGAGGAAAACACCTGAAACCAGAACACCTCGCCACCTAGAAAGGACCAAAACTCCTCACCAGCAAGGGAACAAAGCTGGACGGGGAATGACTGTGACGAAATGACGGAATTAGACTTCAGAAGGTGGATAATAAGAAACTTTTGTGAGCTAAAAGAACATGTTTTAAATCAACGTAAAGAAACTAAGAACCTTGAAAAAAGATTTGAGGAAATGATAACAAGAATGGATACCTTAGAGAGGAATATGAATGAATTAAAGGAGCTGAAAAACACAATACGAGAACTTCGCGAAGCATGCACAAGTTTCAACAGCCGAATTGACCAAGCAGAAGAAAGAATATAAGAAGTCGAGGATCAACTCAATGAAATAAAATGAGAAACCAAGATCAGAGAAAAAAGCGCAAAAAGGAATGAACAAAGTCTCCAAGAAATGTGGGACTATGTGAAGAGACCTAACCTACGTTTGATAGGTGTACCAGAATGTGATGAAGAGAATGAATCCAAGCTGGAAAATACTCTGCAGGACATTATCCAGGAAAATTTCCCCCACCTAGCAAGATAGGTCAACACTCAAATGCAGGAAATACAGAGAACACCACAGAGATATTCCGCAAGAAGAGCAACCCCAAGGCACATAATCGTCAGATTCAACAACATTGAAATAAAGGAGAAAATACTAAGGGCAGCCAGAGAGAAAGGTCGGGTCACCCACAAAGGGAAGCCCATCAGACTCACAGCAGATCTCTCGGCAGAAACTCTACAAGCCAGAAGAGAGTGGGGGCCAATATTCAACATCCTTAAAGAAAAGAACTTTCAACCCAGAATTTCATATCCAGCCAAACTGAGCTTCAGAAGTGAAGGAAAAATAAAATCCTTTGCGAACAAGCAAGCACTCAGAGATTTTGTCACCACCAGCCCTGCTTTACAAGAGCTCCTGAAAGAGGCACTACACATAGAAAGGAACAACCAGTACCAGCCATTCCAAAATCACACTAAATGCTAAACAGCATCAACATAATGAAGAATCTACAACAACTAACGGGCAAAACAGCCAGCTAGTATCTAAATGGCAGTGTCAAACTCACACATAACAATATTAACCCTAAATGTAAATGGACTAAATGCACCAATCAAAAGACACAGACTGGCAAATTGGATAAAAAGCCAAAACCCAGCAGTGTGCTGTATCCAGGAAACCCATCTCACATGCAAGGATACACAAAGGCTCAAAATAAAGGGATGGAGGAAGATTTACCAAACAAATGGAGAGCAAAAGAAAGCCGGAGTTGCAATCCTCATCTCTGATAAAATAGACTTGAAAGCAACAAAGATCAAAAGAGACAAAGAAGGCCATTACATAATGGTAAAAGGATCGATACAACAAGAAGAGCTAACGATCCTAAACATATATGGACTCAATACAGGAGCACCCAGATACATAAGGCAAGTTCTTAACGACGTACAAAGAGACTTAGACTCCCACACAATAATAGTGGGAGACTTTAACACTCCACTGTCAAAATTAGACATATCAACCAGACAGAAAATCAACAAGGATATCTAGGGCTTGAACTCAGACCTGGAGCAGACAAACCTGACAGACATTTACAGAACTCTCCACCCCAAATCCACAGAATATACATTTTTCTCAGCACCACATCATACCTACTCTAAAATTGACCACATAATTGGAAGTAAAGCACTGCTCAGCAAATGCAAAACAACTGAAATCATAACAAACAGCCTCTCAGACCATAGTGCAATCAAGTTAGAACTCAGAATTCAGAAACCAACCCAGAACCGCACAGCTTCATGGAAACTGAACAACTGGCTCCTGAATGTTGACTGGATAAAGAACAAAATGAAGGCAGAAATAAAGAAGTTCTTCGAAACCAATGAGAACGAAGACACAACATGCCAGAATCTTTGGGACACATTTAAAGCAGTCTCTAGAGGAAAGTATACAGCAATAAGTGCCCATATGAGACGAATGGAGAGATCCAAAATTGACACCCTATCATCAAAATTGAAAGAGCTAGAGGAGCAAGATCAAAAAAACTCAAAACCCAGCAGAAGACAAGAAATAACTAAGATCAGAGCTGAACTGAAGGAGATTGAGACACGAAAAACCCTCCAAAAAGTCAATAAATCCAAGAGCTGGTTTTTTGAAAAGATCAACAAAATAGACAGACCGCTAGCCAGATTGATTAAAAAGAAAAGAGGGAACAACCAAATAGATGCAATAAAAAATGATAAAGGGGAAATCACCACAGATTCCACAGAAATTCAAACCATCATCAGAGAATATTACAAACAACTCTATGCGCATAAACTAGTAAACCTGGAAGAAATGGATAAATTCCTGGACTCCTGTGTCCTCCCAAGCCTAAACCAGGAGGAAGCTGAAACTATGAATAGACCAATAACAAGGGCAGACATCGAGGCAGCAATTAAGAGCCTACCACACAAAAAAAGCCCAGGTCCAGACGGGTTCACAGCCGAATTCTACCAGACACACAAAGAGTAGCTGGTACCATTTCTTCTGAAACTATTCCAAATAATCCAAAAAGAAGGAATCCTACCGAAATCATTCTATGAAACCAATATCATCCTGATACCAAAACCCGGCAGAGACCCAACAAGAAAAGAAAACTTCAGGCCAATATCCATGATGAACATAGATGCAAAAATCTTCAATAAAATATTGGCAAGCCGATTGCAACAGCAAATCAAAAAACTTATTCATCATGATCAAGTAGGATTCATCCCGGGGATGCAAGGCTGGTTCAACATACGCAAGTCTATAAATGTAATTCACCACATAAACAGAACCAAAAACAAAAACCACATGATTATCTCAATTGACACAGAGAAGGCATTTGACAAAATTCAACAGCCCTTTATGCTAAAAACCCTCAATAAACTCGGTATCGATGGAACGTGTCTCAAAGTAATAAAAGCTATTTATGACAAACCAACAGCCAATATCATACTGAATGGGCAAAAACTGGAAGCATTCCCTTTGAAATCCGGCACTAGACAAGGATGCCCTCTGTCACCACTCCTATTCAATATAGTACTGGAAGTTCTAGCCACAGCAATCAGGCAAGAAAAAGAAATAAAGGGTATTCAAATAGGAAAGGTGGAAGCCAAATTGTCTCTATTTGCAGACGACGTGATAATATACCTAGAAGACCCCATCGCCTCAGCCTAAAAACTCCTGAAACTGATAAGCGACTTCAGCAAAGTCTCAGGATATAAAATCAATGTGCAAAAATCACAAGCCTTCCTCTACACTAATAACAGACTTAAAGAGAGCCAAATCAAGAATGAACTGCCATTCACAATTGCTACAAAAAGAATAAAATACCTTGGAATACAACTCACAAGGAACGTAAGGGACCTCTTCAGGGAAAACTACAAACCACTGCTCAACGAAATCAGAGAGGACACAAACAGATGGAGAAACATTCCATGTTCATGGTTAGGAAGAATTAATATCGTGAAAATGGCTATAGTGCCTAAAGTAATTTACAGAATCAACGCTATCCCCATCAAGCTACCATTGACTTTCTTCACAGAACTGGAAAAAAACACCATGAACTTCATATGGAACCAAAAGAGAGACCGCATAGCCAAGTCAATTCTAAGCAAAAAGAACACAGCAGGGGGCATCACACTACCGGATTTCAAACTATACTATAAGGCTACAATAATCAAAACAGCATGGTACTGGTACCAAAACAGAGATATATATCAATGGAACAGAACAGAGGCATCAGAGGCAACACAACATAGCTACAACCATACAATCTTTGATAAACCTGACAAAAACAAGCAATGGGGAAAGGACTCCCTGTTCAACAAATGGTGTTGGGAAAACTGGCTAGCCATGTGTGCAAAGCAGAAACTGGACCCCTTCCTGACACCTTACACCAAAATTAACTCCAGATGGATTAAAGACTTAAACATAAGACGTGGCACCATAAAAACCCTAGAAGGAAATCTAGGCAAAACCATCCAGGACATAGGAGTAGGCAAGGACTTCATGAACAAAACACCAAAAGCATTGGCAACAAAAGCCAAAATAGACAAATGGGACCTAATGAAACTCCACAGCTTCTGAACAGCAAAAGAAACAGTCTCTAGTGTGAATCGGCAACCAACAGAATGGGAAAAAATTTTTGCAGTTTACCCATCTGACAAAGGGTTGATATCCAGAATTTACAAAGAACTCAAACAGATTTACAGGAAAAAAACAAACAAGCCCATTCAAAAGTGGTCAAAGGATATGAACAGACACTTTACGAAAGAAGACATATATGAGGCCAACAATCATATGAAAAAATGCTCATCGTCAGTGGTCATCAGAGAGATGCAAATCAAAACCACATTGAGATACCATCTCACGCCAGTTAGAATGGCGATCATTAAAAAATCTGGAGACAACAGATGCTGGAGAGGATGTGGAGAAAAAGGAACACTTTTACACTGTTGGTGGGAGTGTAAATTAGTCCAACCATTGTGGAAGACGGTGTGGCGATTCCTCAAGGCCTTAGAAATAGAAATCCCATTTGACCCAGCAATCCCATTACTGGGTATATATCCAAAGGACTATAAATCGTTCTACTACAAGGACACATGCACACGAATGTTCATTGCAGCACTGTTTACAATAGCAAAGACCTGGAATCAACCCAAATGCCCATTGATGATAGACTGGATTGGGAAAATGTGGCACATATACACCTTGGAATATTATGCAGCAATCAGAAATGATGAGTTCGTGTCGTTTATAGGGACATGGATGAATCTGGAGAACATCATTCTCAGCAAACTGACACAAGAACAGAAAATGAAACACCACATATTCTCACTCATAGGCGGGTGATGAAAAATGAGAACACATGGACACAGAGAGGGGAGTACTAAACACTGGGGTCTATTGGGGGAAAAGGGGAGGGCCAGTGGGAGGGGGAGGTGGGGAGGGATAGCCTGGGGAGAAATGCCAAACGTGGGTGAAGGGGAGAAAGCAAACAAAACACACTGCCCTGTGTGTACCTATGCAACTGTATTGCATGCTCTGCACATGTACCCCAAAACCTAAAATGCAATAAAAAATAAATAAATAAATAAAAATAAAAAATAAAAAAAAAGAAGTGTTACCTCCTTGGTTAAATTTGTTCCTTAGTATTTTATGTTTGGATGCAATTGTAAATGGGATTGTTTTCTTAATTTCCTTTGTGGATAGTTCATTGTGTATATAGAAACACAACCCATTTTGTGTGTTGATTTTGTATCTTGTAACCTTACTGAATTTGTTTATTAGTTTTAGTAGTTTTTGATGGAGTCGTTAGGGTTTTCTATATATAAGAGTGTGTTATCTGCAAATGGATAATTTTACTTTTTAATTTCTGATTTGCATGCCTCATATGACTTTTTATGGCCTACTTGCTCTGGCTAAGAATTCTGGGTATAATACTGAGAACTGGCGTGAGTTGGCTTCCTTGTTTTGTTCCTGATCTTTGAGGAAAAGTTTTTAACTTTTTAACATTGAGTTTGTTAGTCTATAAACTTATCATCTATTGCCTTCATTGTGTTGAGATACCTTCCTTCTGTGTTTCATTTGTAATTTTAAAAATTATAAGAGGATGTTGAATTACATGGAATGCTTTTTCTCATCTATTAAGATAGTTATATTTTTATCCTATATTCTGTTACTTTGACATGTGAAATTGTACATATTGAACGGTATTTGGTACATATACAACCATATTGTACCTCAGAGATAAATCCCACTTGATCACAGTATATAATTGTTTTAATATGCTGTTGAATTAGGTTTGCTAGTATTTTGTTGTGGATTTTTGCATCTTTGTTTACCAGGGATGTTGGCCTGTTATTTTCTTTTCTTGTAGTGTATTTGTCTGCCTTTGGTATCAGGGTGAGGCTAGCCTTATAAAATTAGTTTGTAAATGTTCCATATTGTTCAATTTCTTTTGGAAGCCTGTGAGAAAGATTAACAATTATTCTACTATAAATGTTCATTAGAGTTTGCCAGCATATCCATCAGGTCCTGAACTTTTTCTTTGTTAGGAGGTTTTGATTATTGATTTCATCTCCTTACTCTTTATTTATCTCTTATTGGTTTTATTTTTTTCATGGTTTAGTATTGTAGGATGTATGTTTCTGGGAATTTATCCATTTCTTTTAGGTTATCCAATTTGTGCATAATTGTTCATAGTAGTCTCTTATGATCCTTTGTTTTTCTTTGTTACCAGTTATAATGTCTTCTCTTACATTTATAATTATACTTATCTGAGTCATCTCTCCTTTTTTTCCATCATGTAACTAGAAATTTGTCAGTGTTTGATAATAGACTGGATTGGAAAAATGTGGCACATATACACCATGGAATATTATGCAGCAATCAGAAATGATGAGTTTGTGTCGTTTGTAGGGACATGGATGAATCTGGAGAACATCATCCTCAGCAAACTGACACAAAAACAGAAAATGAAACACCGCATATTCTCACTCATAGGTGGGTGATGAAAAATGAGAACACATGGACACAGAAAGGGGAGTACTAAACACTGGGGTCTATTGGGGGGAAAAGGGGAGGGCCAGTGGGAGGGGGAGGCGGGGATGGATAGCCTGGGGAGAAATGCCAAATGTGGGTGAAGGGGAGAAGCAAAGCAAAGCACACTGCCATGTGCATACCCACGCAACTGTCTTGCATGCTCTGCTCATGTACCCCAAAACCTAAAATCCAATAAAAAATTTAAAAAAAAAGATTTGTCAGTGTTATCTTTCCAAAATCAAATCCTAGTTTTGTTGATCTTTCTATTGTCATTCTAGACTCTATTTCATTTTTTTATGCTCCATTCTTTTTTATTTTCTTACTTCTGCTGACTTTGTATTTAGTCGCACTTTTCTAGTTATTTGAGGTATGACATTAGATTGTTCATTTGAAATATTTCTCTTTTTTAAAATGTAGGCACTTGTCACTATAAACTTCCCTTTTAGAACTGCTTTTACTGATTCTCATAAGTGTTGATATGTCGTTTTTCCATTTTCACTTGTGTCAAGATACTTTTTTATTTTTTTTTATTCCTTCTCTGACTCAGTATTCAGGAGAGTGTTGTTTAATTTCTATGTATTTGTAAATTTCTGATTTTCTTTCTGCTATTGATTTCTGGCTGTATGAGGTTGCTTAGGCCTCTAATCCTAGCACATTGGGAGGCTGAGATGGGCAGATCCTGAGGCTGGGAGACCAAGACCATCCTGGTTAGCATAGTGAAACCCCGTCACTAGTAAAAATGCAAAAACTAGCTGAGTGTGGTGGCACACACCTGTAGTCCCAGCAACTCGGGAGGATGAGGCAGAAGAATCACTTGAACCCAGGAGGTGGAGGTTGCAGTGAGCCGAGATCACACCACATCCTTAGCTAACTTCTTAGCTTTTCTGGTGGAATATCAATAAACATTGTTTAAAATTAAAATAAAAAGTATAGAAGTAGCAAAATGAACCTTATTTGGGTTTATGAAGTTGTTGACCTAAAAGGAAGAAGCTGAGGCACAATTAATGTAAATAAGAAAGTTTATTTTGACCAAGCTTGAGGATTGCAACCGAAGAGCATAGATTCAAGTTGTCCTGATTGTACACTGATTAGAAGCAGTTGCAAGTGGATTTTTAAAGGCATTCAAAGAGGGCAGGGTGTGGATTGATACAAAGTTATTTGTCAGGAAGTCTCATTAGTTTACAAAAATAACATTGATTGATGATTGGCTATACAGGCAGTTTCAGGAAAGGACTACATAGCTCAAAGAATGGAGTAGGGCATGATTGCTGTCTCATTTTCATATCTCTCTGGGCCTGGTAATTAAAAGCACTTTACATTCTTCAGATAAGTGTTTTTTTCTTTCTTTTCTCAGAGTTTATTGTTGAGAGTACTTTTCTATAGGACTTGTGAAATGTAGTGGGAGGAGAGGACAACTGTTTCTTTGTAATATAATTTTATAAACTATTGGATCCTTTAAACTATGCGATGATAAGCAACCTCAATAAATATAAAGATAATGTAACTGAAATATAAGGAATATTATAACACATATAAAAAAAGATAAAATTGTTGTTTTTGGTATTACAGATTCCTAATCTGAAAATCTGAAATTCATAGTGCTCTGAAATCTGAAACTTTTTGCACCAACATGACACCACATGTAGGAAATTCCACTTGTGAGTACTTAACACAAACTTTGTTCCATGCGCAAAATTACTTAAAATAGTTTATAATATTAACTTCAGGCTTTATGTATAAGGTATCCATGGAACATAACTGAATTTTATGTTTAGTTTGGGCTTCCATTCCCAAGATACCTCATGTATATGTAAATATTCCCAAATCCGAAAAAAATCAGAAATCCAAAAACACTTCTTGGCCCAAGCATTTTGGATAAAGATACTCAAACTGTCATTTGAAAATAAAATATTTTTCTTTGATAGTTCTACATGCCACAAATTTTTCTGACTCCAAACAAGCCCATGTCACTGTCACCTCAGAGATGTGTGATTTGAAGCTTAGCAGAAAACCTGCCTCCCGCTTTTTCTGGATTGTTTTCTAGGTATAATGCAGATAAAAGACAGAAATTGTAAACTCTTTAATCTTGCTTCTGGTCCTATCCAAACATGACTCAAGGGCAATCTTAGACAACTTTTAACAATCTGTAGCCTTCCTTTTCTCCTTTTTGATGGTCATCTACTTTAAAACTACTTAACTGTTTTAAAATCAACACTGAAAAACAAAATTGGGAGGCCTAGTGGGTAGCAAATGGTTCGAAAATGTTGGGAAGGAAGGTAGAAATGTAAGTGGCTATGTTTGTAGAAACCATTTTCCCATCGAATTATATTTTATATAAAGCAATGTATGAGGCCTCTTTATCAAGTAGCTACAAGTGTACTCATTGAAGAAATAGGTAGGTTTTGATGATCCTAACAGTTTTAGGTTTTGGATTGAAAGGATAATATAAGTATCACTGGTGCCATTGACTACAGAAAAGTATCATGGTTAGCACTAAATAGTGACTTGAACTTTTTTCTTTAGATTTTTCAAGATTTATATGAATTTATTTTGTATCTCTGTATTGCCGAATTTAAGATAAAGCTGACACACACTCCTTGTTTTAAAATGTGTTATTAAAATATATATTTCATGCTGGTCTGTTACATTTTCAGTAGCTTCCAGTAAGTTATGGAAGGTCCCATTATTTAGTTATAAGTAAAATTTTATGGAGATATTTTAAAGACATTTCTGACTACATTTATTCTGAATTATTCAGCTTTTTTCTCAAAGTACTCTCATAGGGAGCATAGTACTTAGGTGCTGTCTTGTATTCCCTTGTTTATTGCCACTCCTGTTTAGGAGTATACAGTCAACTGTAGAGGCAGTGGTGACAAAACACACCACATATAATGGCACTAAGTAGATATTAGCCATTACCCACCGAAAAAAGCTTCTCTCATGAAAAGGCAGAAGACTATTCAATTGAAAGAAGTATTTTATAGGGTATTTTCCTTTCCCATCTCTCCCCTTCCTCACCTTCGATGTGGCTTACGAAACACAGTTGTGTGAGGATGCAGTAAAGAGGCTAACCCTTAAATATCACTTCGAAAATAACGTGCTAGGGTGTAATATATAACTCCTACCTGGGCAGAAGCAAAAGGCACAGGAAAGAACTCCAGGTTTAACTCCTAACTGGCGTACTCATCCTTGTCTCCAAGAGAAAAGCCAAAAGTGTGTCCCTCAGGTGGATGGCTGGTTAGCCAATGACAGGTGAGATGCTCTGAAAGCTGAGAGCAACCTAAGACAGGCACAGCTGCAGGGAGGCCAGCAAAGGCTAAATTCATAGCAAAAGGCAGTCTGCTCCCATGAAGGAACTGAGCAGCACTAGGTGCAGGTGCACCAGCAGCATCATTCACAGGCAAGCAAGTAAGTTGCTTGTGTGCCGTCAGGTGGATGGCTGGTTAGCCAATGACGGTTGAAGTATTTGGGTCGAGTATAAAATTATCAGCCAAGACAAAAGTATGCCAAATTGCAGGGTTTTTACTGCCAGCGACCACAGAGGACTCACGTCTCTCCAACCCATGGCCCCAACCTCAGGGGGATCAGGGTATTTAAGCTGAAAAACCACATCCCTGGTTTTGGGATTGAGTGGATGCAGGACAAGCAACTTTATAGAAGCTTATTCTGGTAACTACTCTCCATTGTGTGTCCAGGGGGGCAATCTTGACATGTGAGTGGTGGATCCAGGCAGGCAGTCCGTCCACCTTGATTGCCATGGGGGTGACCAGGATCATGGTGTAGGGTCCTTTCCAGCGAGGAGTTAGGCCAGAGGCAGTGAATGTCTACCAGGACTTTGTCCCCAGGCTGGAAGGAGTGTACCAGCTGGTCAGTGAGGTCCACTGGGGTAGGTCAAATTCCCCTGATGAGCAGGCACACCTGGGACTGAACAGGCTGGAGTGCCTGCAAGGACTTGAGGAGTGTATGGTTATGGACTTCAGCATGTATGGTGTCTGCAAGTTTGAGGAGTAAGGGAGGGGGCCTTCCAAACATAATTTCAAAAGGAGTGAACCCTTTCTTATAGGGAGTACATCGGGTATGGAGGAGAACAAAAGGAAGCAGGTTGACCCAGTTTTCACCGGTCTCTAGAATAAACTTTGTTAAAGTCTCCTTTATGGTCCGGTTTATCCTTTCAATCTGCCCTGAACTCTGGGGGCAATAGGCACAGTGTAATATCCAGGATATGCCCAGGGCCTTGGCCAGGCCCTGAGAAACCTGTGCTGTAAATGCAGGGCCATTATCTGATCCCAGTGTCGGGGCAAGCTGAACGGAGGAACCAGGTTTTGTAAGTCTCTTTGTTACTACCAGTACGGTTTCTGACCTAGTAGGAAAAGCCTCGACCCATCCAGAGAAAGTGTCTACAAACACAAGGCGGTATTTATAGCCACATTCTGGGGGCTTTATTTCAGTAAAAGCTACCTCCCAGTGTTCCCCTGGGCTAGTACTCCTAAGTCTTATCCCTGCCTGACTAGACCTACTGCCCCCTGGATTTACCCTGGCACACACATCACATCGAGTAGTAGTTTCCCTAACAATGTCATGTAAATTTGGAATGTAGTATCTGGCCCAGTAGCTCAGTGAGTTTTGTTTGTCCTAAGTGAGCGGCTTGGTGTGTGTCCTTAACTAGAGTCCATTCTAGAGCTTTGGGGAGCACAATCCTTGTGTTTGATAGAATCCACCATCCTGTGGAATCTTGTCATGCTCCCTGTTCCTTAGCAAAGCTCTCTTCATCAGGTGAATACGTAGGGATAGGGGGCAGGGTTGGGGCCGGCAGAGTTATAAGAAGAATCAGGTTTTACTGGTCCCAAGGCTGCCTGTCTGGCTTGTAGGTCAGCTGCCCTATTTCCCCTTGCCTCTGGTGAATCTCCCTTTTGGTGTCCTTTGCAGTGTATTAATGCCACTGCTTTGGGTTTCCATATAGCCTCTAGTAGGGCTAGGATTTCCTCTTTGTTTATGATGAGTTTTCCCTCTGAG